CCTTCCTTCCTTCCTTCCGTCTATGCTGGTAGTGGGGCTTGAACTCAATAGCTGTAAACTTCTGGTGAGACAACTTCAGAGACAGCTGAACGCAAGCTGCAGTTCTCCACTCAGTTGTAAAGCTCAGTGTCTTGGTGAATATGTGTGGCTGGCATTTTCTCCTGAGGTGCTGACCCTACTGGACAGGGTGCCACACCTGGAGAGTCCCTGGTAGTCTTTTATGTTGTTGCTTTACATAGGAGTTCCCACATCAGACTTTGGACAGGGAGAGGATGAAAAGGAGGAGGAAGGCCCATATCCTTTTAAGGATCCACTATGAAAGAAAAAGTAGATTTAGAGTACAGTACCAATTTTTGACAGATGAATTGAGAATTACCATAAAAACCAGGAACTCCAAATTCAGGAGGCTTCAGAACTTGATTTGTGAGCCAGACACTAAAGAGGAGAAAGTTAAATGATACTTTCTTTTTCTGGGGGAGTGCAGTCTTAATTCACAGCCTAGGCTGGCCTTGAACTCTTTGTCCAGCCTGCTCAGTGCTGGAATTACTAAACCTGACTGCTTCTTTTCTGAATTCTCACTTTGAGGGGCCTCCTGAATCCTGGGACTCTGTGCCTTTGACTTTGTGTTACTTTCGGATGCGCAACTCCATTGTCCCTGTCATTACCCTTAAGTTTCGTTTGTAAGCATATACATCAGAAAGATAAGCTGAAAATTAATTGGCTAGTTCAGTTAACATATCAAAAATATCCTTTTTTCATTGTTTTTCTCTTTTGGAGGAGTGCTACTGGTGATGTGCTAGATGAGAACTCTACCACAAGCTACACCTCCAGCCTCTGCCTTTATGTTTGCTGGCATTCTCAGCTATACTACTCTGTATATGGCCAAACCTGTATACAGTCAATAGCTTTCTCTGATTCTGTACCAACAGCTATGTTGAGTTTACCTAGGTCATTATTAATTAGGAGCTTAGACTCAGGGCTACCTTAGATTTGGAGGGATATAGATTCCCCCAACCAGTGATGCATGGGTAACTTGTAATCTCCTCCCCAAATGTCTAGTTTGAACTTTCCTGGCTCCTCAAGTCACCTCCTATATTACCACACTGATGGTTTATGTTTGTCTCCTAGTCCTCCTGACTCCCTCTCTCTGCAGTACTGGGGTTTGAACTCAGGATCTTGTGCTTGCTTGCTTGCTTGCTCTGCTGGCTCTGTACCAGTTTAGCCATGTTTCCAGCCCTCTCCTTAATTTTTAACTTAATGCCTGCCCCTCTCCTCAAATCACACATCCAGATTTTCCTTTGGCTGTGCTGAAAAATTGAATCTACAGGAAGTGAACTTCAGACTCCATATTGTCCCCTTCTACAAGTCCAAGGCCAGATTCTACTCAGGCTCTAGTTCTCTTTCTTTTCCTCTGTGACCTTCTACCTTTACTATATGACCCTCTCTGCTTTCCCTCCTATCTCTTCCCCTGGCAGACTATAAAATGCCCACCTATCTAACCTCCTTTTAGGAAGGAGCTCTCTCTTTTTTTTATTGTGAGAATACTGTACAGAGGAGTTACAATTACACGGGCAAGATAACGAGTACATTTCTTATCAAGCATTGTTGCCTCCTCATTGTTTCCCCTTCCTATCCTTTCCCATACTCCTCTCCTCCCCCACCCGATCCTCCCCCGACCCCCGACCAAAGTTATTAAGTTCGTTTTTCAACACAAGGACTTGTACATCTCATTGTTGCAATGGGTCCACCTGTAGGAGCTCTCTCTTAAACACAGATTTCTCCTTTGCTGACATTTCTTCTACAAAAAAATAGCTGTATTTTCTCTATTCCTCACTTCATCAATACATTCACATTTGAGTCCTGACCTTGATTCCTACACCACATAACTGGAGAAACGAATAGGTGCTTCCTTGTTCTGTTTTATTTTTCATAGCGTACCAATCTTACTTGAACTTTCTAAGGACCCATTGGATCTATAATTATTGTGTACTTCTATAAAATCTTCTACCCTCTTGACTTCAATGTGGTCTGCCCCTTAATTAATGTCTAGAATATTCTTTCTGATTTGAATCAATGGATTCAATTCCTCTTTCTGTCTTGTGTATATTCCCCAATGTGGTAACTAGACCATCTTCTCCTTTTCATTTGCAAAATCTCCAGTAAAACTTTGCATGCTTTTGTGGTCTTAACCACAACGTGAAGGGTTTATTGCAATTCTATTTCTAATATCACTTTTCTCCTTAATTTCAAACTTCTCAGGACAGTTCTGTCTTTTCCACAGATATTCTAAATTTAATAAATGTAAAATAGCCTGGTACTAGTGGCCCATACCTACAATCCTAGCTACTTAAGAGGCTTTGAGATCTGAGAATTGCTGTTCAAGGCCAGCCTAGGCAGAAAAGTTTGTGAGACTCTTCTCTATAATTGACTACTAAAGAAAGCTGGAAATGGAGCTGTGGCTCAAGTTACAGTGCCAGCCTTGAACAAAACAGTTAAGGGACAGTTCTCATGCCCAAAGTTTAAGCTCCAGGACTGGCACAAAAATAAAAATAAATATATTCCCTATTTTTATGCCCACTCTTTGATCAACTACATTTTTATCTCAATTTGTGCCCCCCATCCCCATTCATATGGATTCTTGATTTACAGACACATAATTCACCTCCATTTGGGTTTATAGGATGTTGATTGAGGAGATTAGGGGTTGGATACTGGCTCAGGGGCTAAATAATCCTTTAACGCTACAAATCAGGTTATTTTTCTTGTAATTATTTAACTCTCCTCTCCTCCACTCTTCTCAAAAGCAGCCATGAACAAGCCACAATAGTTGAGTTCCAACATGACACTATGGTTGGAAATGAACTTTATAATTTCAGGAGGGGGAGGAAGTGAAGGAGATAGGGGAGGGAAGGAATAGTTGGAGAAAACAAGGGAGGGAGTAACAATGCTTAACAAGAGGGCTGGGAAGGTGGCTCAGTGATAGAGCGCTTGCCTTGCATGCTTGAGGCCCTGGGTTCGATTCCTCAGCAACATATAAGCAAAAAGAAAAAAGCCAGAAGTGGCGCTGTGGCTCAAGTGGTAGAGTGCTAGCCTTGAGCTGAAGAGCTGAGGGACAGCGCCCAGGCCCAGAGTTCAAGCCCCAGAGTTCAAGCCCCACGACCGAACCCCCCAAAAAAACACAAAACAACAAAACCAAACAAAAAACAATGCTTAACAAGAAATGTACTCATTGCCTTACTCATGTAGCTGTAGCCCCTCTGTACAGCATCTTTACAATAAAATAAAATTTTAAAAATTGATTCACAGAAAAGGTGTGATGAACAGAGAACTGGTGGCTCACGCCTGTAATCCCAGCTACTCAGGAGGCTGAGATCAGATGACCTCAATCCGAAGCCAGCCCATGGCAGGAAAGTTTAAGGGACTCTTAACTCCTATTAACAACAACAAAAAGCTAGAAGTAGAAATATGATTCAAGTGGTAGAGCACCAGCCTTGATCAAAAAAGCTAAGGGAGCGTGCTGAAGCCCTGAGCTCAAGCCTTAGTACCAGAAAAAAAAAGGAAAAAAGAAAAAAAAGTTAGCTATCTGCTGGGTTAGAGTTGGGGTCATGAAGTCCAGGCTCTGTTCTTCTTGGTAAAGCATGGTCTGAGTGTCATGTCACGGTCATGGTGCATGGACATGGTGCCGTTGGGCTTGCAATCTTCTTGCCTTCAGCCTCTACTCTCCAAATGTAAACATCACATTACTTTAATGTGATATGTCTAGTAGACCTGGTCTTTGCTCTCTAGAGATAGTCCTTCCTTTCCAAATCCACTTCCATTGCTTAAGCAATGAGTATTGAAGAGTATTTCAAAGGCTTCCTAATCTAACTCCACATGATAAGAATCCTACAAACAAAACTGTCTTTCTAAAATTCAAACCAAATTGTAATATCCACTTGTATAAAGGACACACTCTTGTATTGTCTACATATAACATATTAATCTAACTTTTTAGGTCATCTTCCATTAATCCTGTCTCTTTAACTTTGTACTTTAGCATTATTGAGTAGTTTGTGATCCCTCAAATCACAGATATCTGTTTATCTGCTCTTCCTTCTGCCTTTATTAATTTCCTTTATTCAAATTTATACCTAGAAATGCCACCTACCTACACCCTCCAAAAACAGGCTCAACACTTGTGTTTCTGTGAACAATTCTCTTTCATTCCCCCAAGCAGTTAACAGAATTAACTATGTCTACTTCCTTACAGTATGCTGCATTTGAAACTGAGTTTATAGTTCCCAGGCCCAAAATTCACTAGACCCAACTTAGGTGCAGCTACTTACTCCTATATAAAAAAACATGGTGAAAGACAGAGAAAGAAGATTTATTACATGGCAGCCATGGGAAGACCACAGTACATCTTCAGCCCAGCCATCTTCCCATGTACAAACACTGGTTTCAAGTTTAACAGGGAGAGGAGATGAGAAAGGTCTACATAATTATAAACAGTCCCAAATCCTAAGTGTGGCCATGGTCAATGTTGGCTCAGCCTTCCTTCTGGGAGTTCTGGAGAATTGTTACTTTATTACTAAGAAGTGATCTCCTGAGTTTGCCTTCCTCTCAAGAGGATTATCCAGTGAATCTTTTTGTTCTTGGGTCCCAAGGTGATTGATTGCATAGGGACAATAGCAGAGAATAATTGAGGCAGAAGGCACAGATGCAAAGTTAGTTAATTCACAGGGCCCTGCAAAAGCATTTTTAAAGTTGCCTCATACACATTAGAAGCTCTCTGAGCACATTGTTTTCTCCCTGACTGGATCCTGTATGTATAAGAACTGCATTCCTATCACTTAGGGATCTGCACTAATGGAAGGTCTAATGTACTTGATTTCATTTCTCAGTGTTTGGTGAACTGAATTGATTGAATTCACTTGAAAACTGGAATATGAAAGGAATTACTTCCTTAGGTACTTCCCAGACAGGTCTAAAATCCTGAGATGTTTCTCTATTTAATGCAGAAAGAGCTTCCGGATCATTACAGGCCTTGGATGGAAATTGCCAGCAACCTCCCTCATTTGATTCAGAGTCATCAGCTTCGTGCTCATGTGAACAAGGTATATCCTTTCTACTCTTTGGGATCTTCTCTTTGTTTATCACCATCTGGTTTTCATGTGACACTCCCATCATAGCTACTGGGCTTGTCAACACTTTTCTCTCATCCTTCCTAAAGGAAGAAATGACTCTTTCCTGATCCTGAAATCAGAGATTTTAGCCAGATGTTGCTGGCACTTGCCCATAAGACAAACTAGAGACTAGGATCTGAGAATCACATATGAAACAAGCCTGGGCAGGAAAGACTGTGAGACTCTTATCTCCAATTAACCACCAAAAAGCTACAAGTGGAGCTATGGCTCAAGTGGTAGAGCCCTGGACTTCAGCACTAAAGCTTAGGGATAGAACCCAAACCCTAGTTCAAGCCCCAGGACTGGCATATACAGACAAAAATGGAGGGTTTGTTCAAATGGAGTTCCTTACTGTACAGCCTTGATATCAATCATTTATTTTTCACATCGATCTTTTAAAAGTTGACTAGGTTCTAAAGGCTCTCCCTGGAGTCTATGTCCATGTAGAGTTAACAAAATTTATTTTATTAGGAAACCGGTTGTTTGCAGATCTAATCGAGTTAAGATGAGGTCATGGTACTCTCTAAATCCGATTTGACTGGTGTCTTTATAAAATAGAGAAATGTGGACATAGTGCCATTTGTAACTAGGAGAGATGCTATGCGAACATAGAAGCAGACACTGGAGTGGTGCATCTCCATTCTAATATATTCTGACAACCACCAGATGCTGGAATAGATGCTTGGGGTGGGGTCTCCCTCTGTGCCAGAAGAAATTAGCTCATCTGATAGTCTATGTTTGGACTATTTTCTATAACTGAGAAAGTCACTCATTAATAATACGTAAATTTCACTATCTCCTCAATTTTCTTAGAAAATACCCAACTAAATAGCACTACTTATCTTTTTTTGATGTTAGTAGTGGGGCTTGAACTTGGTGCTGTCCCTTAACTTTTCTTTTCTTTTTTTTTTGAAAAGATGGATGTGGCCAACAGGGACTTCAGAGGCTATGGCCTCCAGGAAGTAAATAAGGACAAGTTAGTCCTTCTAAAATATTAGTTTCCATTATCTTGTGTTCACAAGTTGAACAAAAGGTCATATGCAAAAGGAGCTATTAGAAATCCAAAAAATAACACAAAACACTATAAGCCCATAAATTCATATATGTAAAAATGTCATAACATACAAATCACAAAATCAAAGAAATAAAAACTATTAGGAAAGTGAATACAAAAAATAGAAATAGAGATATTCTTGGTTCATGTAACAGAAATCCCACAAGAAAGTTAACACAAGTGGAGGAAAAGTGAAATTTCTTTTTTTTTTTTTTTAAATTAATTTTATTTGAGAATATACTGTACAGAGGGGTTACAATTACATGGGCAGGATAATGCATACATATCTTACCAAGCATTGCAGCCTCCTCCTTTGTTTACCCTTCACCTCCCTTCCCAGCCTCCCCCCTCCCCCCCACCTAATCCTTCCCCCCTCCCCCCCCCACCGACATTGTAAAGCTCGTTTTTGACATGACATTTTGTACTTCTCATTGTTGCAACAGGTCCACCTGTATCCTTAAACGACTTGTTTGTCCCCATCTCCTCCACAAGTTATACCGACATCAAATATAGTGAAAGCGGGGGTTACACTGTGGGGGAGGGACATACAAAGCAACAAAGAAATAATCTTATAAATGCGTTAGAAACACATGCATGAAAGAAAAAAAAATTAAAATACATATTTGAGGTTTCGTTTTCCTAACATCACATAATCTGACCTTTTCCTCTTGACTCATACATATACTAGATATTACAAATAAGGGAAACCATGGGACCTATGTTTCTTTGGGCCTGGCTTACTTCACTTAATATAATTTTTTCCAAGCCTTTCCGTTTCCTAACAAATGGGGAAATGTCATTCTTTCTGATGGAGGCATAGAATTCAATTGTGTATATATACCACATTTTCTTGATCCATTCATCTACTGAGGGGCATCTGGGTTGGTTCCATATCTTAGCTATGGTGAATAATGCTGCAATAAACATAGTTGTGCTGGTAGCTTTAGTGTGGTCTTGTTTGTAAACATTTTGGTAAATGCCCAAAAGTGGGATTGCTGGGTCGTAGGGGAGTTCTATGTGTAGTCTTTTGAGGAACCTCCATACTGCTTTCCAAAGTGGTTGAAGAAATTTCTAACAGCTAAAAAAATGAAAATTTCAAGTCTTAAGAAACATTTGATTTTTTTTTATTGTGAGAATACGTACAGAGGAGTTACAATTACATGGGCAAGATAACAAGTACGTTTCTTATCAAGCATTGTTGCCTCCTCTTTGTTTCCCCTTCCCATTCCTTCTCATACTCCCCCTCCCCCCGACCTGATCCCTCCCCCCCACTAAAGTTGTAAAGTTCGTTTTTCGACATAACAACTTGTACATCTCATTGTTGCAATGAGTCCACCTGTATCCCTAGTTAAACGATTTGTTTTTTCCCTTCCCTCCACAAATTATACAAACATCAAATACAGTGATAGCATGGGTTATACCGTGGGGGAGGGACATACAAAGCAGCATAGAAATCATCTCATAAATATGTTAGAAACAATTGCATGAAAGGAAAAAAAAACATTTGAATACTTATCTTGGGGCTCATTCTCCTAACATCCACATATCTGACCTTTTCTGGTTGACTCAGACATATACTAGTTATTGCAAATAAGGGAAACCATGGGACCTATGTTTCTTTGGGCCTGGCTTACTTCACTTAATATAATTTTTTTCCAAGTGAAACATTTGATAGAGAAAATTTGGAAGTTGGTGAGAGATATATAATAATAAATTGGTAAAATTTCAAACCTCTTATCATAGTAAGAAAATTTTACAAATTATAGACAAGAAACAACAAAAATGAAAACTAATTTAGTAACTGAAAAACCACATAGAACTCTCTATATAATGCTAAATATCAAAGGAGAATTTAGTAGCTACTTGAATGGCTGTATATACCCTGAATCCCAGCACTCAGGAAACTGAGGCAGGAAAAGCATTAGTTCAGGGTCAGCCTTGTCTAAACAGTGAGATTCTGCGCCAAACAAAATAAAAGAGAAACAAAAACTTCTGGACAGGATATGTGACAATGGAAATTTTTATAGTCATAGCTGATAAGAATGTTAAGGGAAGATCAGGAGCTGTTGGCTCATGTCTGTAATCCAAGCTACTCAGGAGGCTGAGATCTGAGGATTAAGGTTCAAAGCTAGCCCCAGCAGTACAGAAAAGTCTGTGAGACTCTTATCTCCAATTAACCACTCAAAAATGTGAAGTGGGGCTATACCTGAAATTGGTAGAGCACTAGCTTCGAGCAAAAGAAGCTCAGGGACAGTGTCCAGGCCCTAAGATCAAGCTCTACTAACCTGCTTAAAAGAAAAATAAAAAGGGGGCTGGGAAGTTGGCTCAGTGGTAGAGCGCTTGCCTTGCATGCATGACGCCCTGGGTTCGATTCCTCAGCACTACATAAGCAGAAAAAAGCAGGAAGTGGTGGTGTGGCTCAAGTGGTAAGGCACTAGCCTTGAGCTGAAGAGGTGAGGGACAGTGCCCAGCCACAGAATTCAGCCCCCACAACTGAGTAAATAAATAAATAAATTTAAATAAAAGAATGCAAAGATAAGAGCCACTTAGGAAGATAGCTTGGCAAATTTTTGTGAAGTGAAACATAGACAGCGCAGTTCTATCACTTAGTGATAAAAATTCACACACACACACATATATGTATATATAAAAAATACACACACACACACACACACACACACACACACACATATATATATATCCAGGAAAATTAAAACTTTATGCTCACAGAAAATCCTATATGTGAACTTTATTAGAGCTTTATTTAGAAGCATACAAACACAAAAGATCTGAAGCAACCAAGGTTTTTCTCAACAGAATGAATAAACTGAGTTAAAGTCATCTTGTATAATAGAATGTATAATGGAATATTATACAGTGGTAAAAGTAAATGAGTTATTTTCTGAGTTATGTAACAGAATGACTAAACATATATTTAGGATTTAAATGAAATATGCCAGATCCCCAATGCTATATACTGTATAATTCTACACATGACATTCTGGAAAAGACAAAAATACCAATAAGCACAGAAAACAGATTAGCAGTTGGCAAGATTGGCCAGGACAGGGGGTTTGCTACTAAGAGATTTAAAGAGATATATCAGGGCTGAAAACTCTGTGTGTGTGTGTGTGTGTGTGTGTGTGTGTGTGTGTGTGTTCCTTAGAGGGTCAGTATATGACTCTAATGAAAGCCTATAGAATTATATTTCATAAAGTATGAATTTTCATGTATATAATTAAAAAATGACAATTTGAGGAGATCCCTGGATGGAATGTGGACTATGTCAAATGAGTCTCAGAGAATGAGAGATGGGTGGTAAATTCTCAGTGAAGACAACAGGGAAATGGGAGTTGACCTTGGCCATTTTGGAAAATAGCATTTGACTGAAAAGCCAAAGGCAAAAGAAAAAATGAACTACATACCATTACTGTCCTCTAGTGGGCAGATTTTGTCTTTCATGAAGTACAGGCTAACAATTGTAAATTTGCTTTTCCTGTATACTTTGGGTGAAGAAATAGGTAAATGGATTGTGGATGGTGTTTCATCATAAGAGAGGGAAGTTACAGATTAACAAGGAGGGAAGGAAGCTGGACTTAACCTGTGGTACTGAATTAGTTAGTAGCCTGGGAATGAAGGATTGCCTAATACACATATAACTAGGGGTTTTAAAGTAAACTTGTTATCAGTAAAGTAGAACCTCTGTTTATTAAAATCAGATAAAAGAGCATGAAAAACAAGCCAGGAATAGAAGATGTTATATATGTAAGTGAAAAAATATTATTTGTAGCCTAGAAATCAACAAGAAAGAAAATCAAGGCTGAGTGTTTAGCTCAGTGGTAGATACTTGTCCATACTGTGTAAGGTCTTGGGTTCT